GATGTAAGCATCTTCACTGAAGTTGGAAGCATTTAGACGTGCAGCTACCTGCATGATACTTGTGTTTGCTAAATCTCCGAATCCTTCGAGTACGACGATTCACATGACGGCTCCGCAGACGACACAATACCCCAAACAAAAAGCCCCAAACCGCCAAAAGCCTAACGACCAGAAACCTCAAATCCCAAAGTCAAAAACCCCACCCCAACGCCAAAACCCCAAACCTCCTCCGGAAACCCAACACCTAAAATTGAAATCCCAAACCCTTGTGGAACCCTAGCTAAAATCCTTTAAAGCCGTCATAGAACCTAATAATCCCAATAAGACTATAACACCCTATGACTTCCTAACAAAAACCTGATAAGACCCACAGAAGACCTACAGAAGTCCCTAAACCCTAAACCCTAAACCCTAAACCCTAAACCGTAAACCCTAAACCCTAAACCCTAAACCCTAAACCCTAAACCCTAAACCCAAAGCCACAGAACCCTCAAGAGCTTTGGCACCTCTGTGCAAGAGACCCGGCCTTCTTCGATGCGAGGGAGTGCACCGCCGAACCTGGATGCTAATGCTATTTAGGGTTTTGGGCTCTGGGGTAAGGTTTAGAGTTTAGGGTTTAGGGTTTAGGGTTTTGGGCTTTGGGGGTAAGGTTTAGAGTTTAGGGTTTAGGGTTTAGGGTTTAGGGTTTAGGGTTTACGGTTTAAGGTTTAGGGTTTCGGGTCTTCTAACCTGATTTAGAAACCCTTGTCCTATAACCCCTACATATTCGGATCCATACAAGGAGCCTTTATAAAGACTCAAGGTTTCTAAATCAGGTTCCAATATGACACGGGCTCTATGAGGTATCAGTGAAGGTTGCTACCATGACTCTTTCAGGCCTTTATGGGTGCACTGTAAGAGATCCTATATGGGACTTTATTGAACCCTAAGCAGCAGCCATACAACAATAGCGAGAGTCAGCCACAAAGCGACTTCGATAAACTATCGGCTGCAGTGATCAGCCGCCGACGAAGCAAACAGAGAAGACAAAGCAACAAGCTGATACTTCGCATGACATGCAGTAGTGATCGTACCACACACAAGGCGTGAGGTAGCCCCCCAAACCCTAAACCCGATACCCTCGAGCCTCTGAAAGTACCGGCCTTCAACCCAAGGCCCTGCTCCAATCCTGAAAGGTTTAGGGGTTTAGGGTTTGGGGTTTGCATTTAAGGTTTAGGGTTTCGGGTTTAGGGTTTAGCGTTTAGGGTTTAGGGTTTAACGTTTAGGGTTTAGGGTTTAGGGTGTGCGTTGCGGGTTTAGGGTTCAGGGTTTAGGGTTTGCGTTTAGGGTTTAGGTTTAGGGTTTAGGGTTTGGAGCTTGGTAAACCCCAAATCCCGTATAGAACCCCGAAAGGAACCCTTAAAGGAATCCTCAAAGGAACCCCGAAAGCAACATGTAGACAGCTCTCCTTACCGAAACCCTTAAAAGAAACCAAAGAGAGCCCTAAAGTCTCGGCTCCCTAGTGCTACAGCGGTTTGGGGTTTAGGGTTTAGGGTTTAGGGTTTAGGGTTTAGGGTTTAGGGTTTAGGGTCTAGGGTTTAGGGTTTAGGGTTTAGGGTTCTTGAGAATCCAAACGGTCGGTAGTGACTTGTTTCCCGCGGGCACCTCCCACGGGGAGACTTTGAAAGCGATGCAGGCAGCGGTTCCTGTTCGTTTGAGGTTTAGGGCTCAGGGCTTCAGGGCTTGCGGTTTAGGGTTGAAGGTTGAGGGTCTGGGGGTTGTCGGGGACAGGGTTTAAACCCTAAACCCTAAACCCTGTAAACTCTGAACCCTAAACCCCTAAACCCTAAACCAGAGGTGAACGCAAAGGTCGTTTTCCGACCCCAAACCGATGTCTGAGTTCAGGGTCAGGCGTTCAGGATTTAGGACTTAAGGTCTGGGTTTCATTAAGTTTAGGGTTTAAGGTTTAGGGTTTAGGGTTTAGGGTTTGGGGTTTAGGGTTTAGGGTTTAGGGTTTAGGGTAACCTTAGTGCTCGAGGGGTGGAGTTTAGGGTTTGGAATGGTTTGGCCTATTCAGGGCTTAGTTTACGCCCTAAAGATGCAGGGGCTGAGGGGGGCCGGGGAGTAAGGCGTAGTGCTTTGAGGGTTTGAGACGCCTTTGGTGTCTAGATGCCAGGGTATCAGGGCTTTAGGGCTCAGGGATTTTGGGTTCAGGGATTTTGTGTTCAGGGTTTAGGGGTTTAACGGTTTAGGGTGGAGGGCTTAGGGCTTATAGGGGTAAGGGTTGAGCATTCATGACCTGCGATGCTGCACATGTACGGCCGCTACTATTCAAGAGTTCCGATCTCGGCTGAGTTGCGAACAAGCATGCGAAAAACTAGCTCGATATCCCTGGAATCCCGAACCGGATGCGACCCTAAACCCTAAACCCGAAACTATCTGAATCCCCAAACCCGAGTCCCGAGGTCTGAAACGATCTGAGCCCCCCCAAACCCTAAAGTCTAAATCCAGGAAAGCTCTGGAGTGGCAGCACGTCCTTGCCAGCTGATCCCACTTGCTTGACCTGTGCTTGCAGACGCAGGCGTGGTATTGGGTGTACCCTAAACCCCAACCCTAAACCCTAAACCCTAAGCCCTAAGCCCTAAACCCTAGAAACCCTAGACCCTAAACCCTAAACCCTAAACCCTAAACCCTAAACCCTAAGCCCTAAGCCCTAAACCCTAAGCCCTAAACCCTAAACCCTGATTGGGCTTGGGCTCGAAGGGTTGGCGGCTTTAGGGTTTAGGGTTTAGGGTTCTGTGGATCTGAGGTTTGGGTCTGCCAGTGTTGGGTCTAGTTTAAGGTTTACGGCATACAGAAGACTAGGATTATAGAGTTTAGGGGTTATTGAGTTGTTGAGATAAGATCCATGATGGGCTTCCGGTTCAGGGTTTAAGGTTCAGGGGAAAGTACCTATTCAGGAAAACCCCCACCTTGCAGCCGGCGCATCCCATGCACACCACCACCCCACTGGAGCTCGGACGGAGCCACCAGCGGGTCGAGCGACCTTGCTCTAAGACGGGTGTCGAACTGTATCGTAAGGGTGTTATACGGGGTTCTAGAATGTACCAAACACCATCCAAACACCTCAATACCCTAAACCCTAAACCCTAAACCCTAAACCCTAAACCCCAAACCCTGAACCCTAAACCCTAAACCCCAAACCCTGGCAGGCATACTTTAGTAGTCCCCTTCAGGGGACGTTGGCGTCTCTGGGGTAGCCTTGGCTCTGATTTTAAGGGCATAGGATTGGGGCTGTCCGTTTAGGGTTTAGGCCCTAAACCCTAAACCCTAAACCCTAAGCCCTAAACCCTAAACCCACTTACAACTACCTCTGAACCTCCAAGTAGAGGGTTTAGTGCTCAGCATTTCGGATCGAAGCTCTGGCAGGTAAGTTGCTTCCAACTGCGCCTCTATGATGCTATGGTTTTTAGGGTTTAGGGTTTAGGGTTTTTTAGGGTTTAGGGTTTAGGGTTTAGTTTTGGGTCAGGGCGTGTAGAGTAGAGGGTGAGAGGGCTTTCTGCTGCGAATGCCTTGGCCTTGGGAAAACTTGGGGGAGTGAGTTGACATGTCGGGTCCCTTTCAGGGGGGCCTTCCTGCGCGGGGTTCCATTTACAAGGGCCCCATAGTTATGAAACTTCCGCATTTCCAAACTCCAGATTTGAACTGTAGACGGGCTAGATTCTGAGGCCTTTTGCAGGTGAGAAAAATTTTTAGCCCCCAAAACCCTAAACCCTAATTCAGACCTAGACGTGAATCCTCTGGACAAATCCTGGCGACCAGAAATTATTACTCTTAGCCCCAAGCACTAAATCCTTACAACAAGGGCTACTCGGTCATTATAAGTGTTGATACAAGAAATGTAGGGCCTTAATAATTAGAATAGGGTTTTGCGGTATATTCTTAATAATACGTATTCAGAATCCTGGTGGGTTGGGTTTTGAAACCTGTCTGAACAGCCTTATGAAGCCCCTTCTCGGTCCTCTGTGGACCCTAAACCCTAAACCCCTGCTTACGGTTTAGGGTTTAGGGTCTAGGGTTTAGGGTTTAGGTTGTGGATCGCTTGTGGAACTGAGGCGGCCGCGGAACCCTGTACAGGAATTGAGGCTCTGCTTGCACGTAGGGAGTGGGGCGGTGCTTTAGCCGCTCCGAGATGGCAGCAGTTGCGGATTTAGGGTTCAGGGTATAGGGTTTAGGGTTTAGGGTTTAGGGTTTAGGGTTTAGGGTTTAAGGTTTAGGGTTTAGGGTTTAGGGTTTAGGGTCTAGGGCTTCTAGGGTTTAGGGTTTAGGGTTTAGGGTTTAGGGTTTAGGGTTTAGGGTTTTGGGTTTAGGGTTTGCAATTTGTAGGCAAATGCCCTCAGCCCTCAACCGCAACGTAGTCGATGAACTCTCAGAGACCCATGGATCTTGAAAGAAGTCTTGGAGTTCATCCTGCTTCAAAACTGGGGGCTCAGGCGCCAAAATCCTTTAGCCATTGGCCCCGAAACACTCAAGAGCATCCCAAAACCCAAAACAAGAGCTTATCCTCAACCCGACTTAAACGAAACAGCCTGATATGGAGAAAAAAAGTAGGCATGGACTTTCAACATGCAGGCTCAGGGTCTAAACTTCCTTGAACCCGAAACTGTGAAGATGGACAGTTTAGGATCTTTTGGGTTTTGAGGTTTAGGTAGGGACCCCAAACTGGGCTGATGGTTTTGACCTCGGAACCGTGTCAAGCCGCCTTAGCCTCCGACATCCCCGCACCACCGAACCTCCGAAACCTTTTCAAAAGCTTGAAACTCTCATAAAGAAATGCCCTTCCAAAACCGACCACAATACCGATCGATGTAAAACTTGAAACTCTACTGAACAAAATCTTCCAAAAGTCTTAAAGCCCTGATAAGAATTCCTAAAACACTAAAGTTGTAAGACCCGGAAACCGCCCTTCCAAAACCCCGTACAGCCCCCAACAATCTGCACAGCCCCCATTTTCCCTCGCATCATCCATGCGAGTCTCCATCACCTCGGTGTAGGGTGGACAGATAAGCTTAGGTGAGGCTTACGGCTTGGTGTGGCTATAACTATATGTACCTTTGCATGTGTGTACATTTTTGTACACATAGATACAGACACACATACACACATACACACATACACACATACATACATACATACATACATACATACATACATACGTACGTACATACATACATACATACATACATGCGTTCATTCAATCATTCATTCATACATACGTACATATGACATACATACATACATACATACATACATACATACATACATACATGCGTTCATTCAATCATTCATTCATACATGCATACTTACATACGTACATACATACATACACACATACATACATATATGCATACATGCATGCATACATACATACGTGCATACATAGCTGCGTACATACATATTTTCTTTTTTTCCCTTACTCTACTTTGCTTTACTTTACTTTATTTTACTTTACTTACGTGCCTGTGTACATACATATGCTTTCGTTATACAGTCGGGTTCATATTTATATCTATCTGTAGCTGTATTCGTGATTATGTTTATCTATGTTTATCTGACTGTCTGTTTATCCATATTTATCTCTTTATCTGTATCGAATTGGTTGTTTGTCTGATTTTCTGCTCAGCTAGCGTTGCTAGTATACTTCTGTCTTGACTTTGCCGACTTTTGTGCGAATTGCCTCTGATAACAGGTAGACATGTTGCCGGAAGTATTCCCAAAAAACTGCTACGGCTTCTTGCAATCCGACGCCGAAACTCCACCAAACTTGGAATGATAAACCTGAACCCTACTCGAAACTTCCGGGTTTGGGTTAGGCGTTTTGCAGTAGGCTGAGCATAAGGTTTAGGGTTTAGGGTTGGCGGTTTAGGCTCTTAGGGTTTGGGGTTCAGGGTGTAGGATTTAGGGACAAACCCGTCAATACTATAGAATCTCGTATGGTTAAAGACACCCGACGTAGGCGCACGCTGAGGAGACGACCTCTTGGGAAGCACTCTTTGAAAGCCATTGAACAAGGGGGGTTTCTGAAGGACCCTTCAGATGTTCCTTAGAGGAACCCTGACAGGGATCCTGTGAGGGTTCCCTAAAGCGGCCCTGCAAGGATTCCATGAAAAAGGGTTCCTGAAAGGAACCGAAAGAACACAGAGAACTTGAGTTAGAAGCCTAAGCGGTGATTCCGAGACGGCTGGGTTTATGCATCATCTTCTTCATTTGTCCATGTTTCTTTTGAGCAACTGTTGAGCAAGACGTTTTCGGAGTTTGTTTTTCGGGTTCGCAAGGGTTTCAGGAACGTTTTGGTCGTGAAGTTTGGGGTGGGAAGGTCATGAAACTTAGGCATTTAGGGCTTCATGGGTTTTAGGAGTTTCGCGCATCAACTGGAAGCGTTCAGCTTGCAGCCTTTCCAGTAGTGAGACTTCGACGGTTTAAGTGTGGGAGTCCTAGCAGAAAACTGACACCTCTAAACACAGGCAGCCCTACACTCCATAGCCTAATTCTCGAAACAGGGATAGCCAGCAAATGCTTAGTCCATACCTCAACCTCTGCGAGCATTGAGAGCTTCAGCTGGACGCAGCCTGATACTAAGACGGATAGCACTACAGCAGGCTGTGATCTGCACACGGCCGTGACATGTGTGGAAGCAAAACCAATGCACAAGAAGGTCCACCACTACAGTTGTTCCAAACAAACGTGGGCAAATTAAAAAGAAGATGAATAAACTCAGCCGTCTCGGAAGCGTCGCTTAGGCTTCGAATTAAAGTTATTCTATGTTCTTTCGGTTCTTTTCACGAACCCTAAACCCTAAACCCTAAACCCTAAACCCTAAACCCTTTTTCAGGGAATCCAGGGTCCGCTTTAGGGAAGCCCTCATAGGATCCCTCTCGGGGTTCCTTTCGGGAAAATTTGAAGGGTCCCGTCAGGAGCCCCCCTAAACCCTAAAGCCTAAGCCCTAAACCCCTAAACCCCTAAACCCTAGGGGTTCAGCGGTTTAGGGTTTAGAGGTTTAGGGTTTAGGGTTCAGGGTTTAGGGGTTTGAAGGTTTGAAGGTTTGAAGGTTTGAGGGTTTAAGGTGAACCCGGAGGTGCTCCTCAGGCCCCGACCAGCGCGGCGCCGCTTCGCAGGGTACAAACTGACCTTCGGCTGCTTGCGGGTCTAGAGCTTAGGGTTTAGGCTCTACGGTTTAGAGTAAACCCTAAACCCTAACTCCTAAACCCTAAACCCTAAATCGTGTAGGGTTTCGGGTTCTTTTGTAAGGTTTAAGGCTTCCTGTGCTCGGCTTCGGGTTCAGCTGTCAGGCTGTTTTGTATTTGCGTAGGTGGTTCGGCTTCTTGATTTCGAGCGTCTCTTCCGTCTCTTTGCTGTTGTGTTTCTGTGTTGTTAATTGTATGCGTTTTCTCTCGGTTGGGGCACTGGTTCAAGGTTTAGGGAATAGGGTTTAGGACCACGGTCTCTGGTGCAGGAATGCAGGGTTTATGAGCGGTTCTTGAAGGGTTTCGTTGAAGGCGCCCGCTTTCAACCTGAAACCCTACAATCCCTAAGCCCTGAACCCTTCTCTCTAAACTCTAAACCCTATAGAACCTATGATCCCTAAGTCCTACACCCCTGAACCCTAACCACTAGACCCCAGAATCCCTACATCCTAAACCCCTGAACCCTAAACCATAAGGGTTTAGGGTTTAGGGTTTAGGGTTTAGGAATCCCCAAATCCTCAACAATACTTTTTCTGGAAACGCTATACCTCTACCCTTACCATGGGACGGTTATAAGAACCCTGAAAGGGACCCTCTGCAGCTCTCCGAAAGCCACCCGAAACCCTAAACAATCCTTTGTCTGGTTTAGGGTTTTAGGTTTAGGGTTTAGGGTTTAGGGTTTAGGGTTTCAGTGCCGGAAACCCCACAATCTGAACCCTGGCTAAATCTAAGGTTGAACCCATGGGCCCCTAACATGGGCCCTTAGGGGATTCTAGGGTACCTTACGGGTATATATAGGGTATATAATCGGTATATTAGGGTCCCAGGGTTAAGGGCCCATGCTAGGGGCCCATGGGTTCTACCTTAGACTAAACCCTAAACCCTGCAGACCCTATAATCCCTAGCCCTTAACCCTATAAACCCTGCAACCCCTACATCCATAACCGTTACCCTGAACCCTAAACTTTAAATTCTACAGACCCTATAACCCTACTTCCTAAACCCTTAACCCTCAACCCTAAACCCTAAACCCTGCAGACCCTACAATCCCTACATCCAAAACCCTCGCGGAGCGTGACTTCAAAGTCTGGCCACCTATTGCTGTGGCTTCGCTTAGATCGCTACTGTTAGCGTCGCTGTCGAGCGAGGCGTTGCCGTCCCGGCCAGGTGAGGCGAGGCAGCGGAGGCCATGTCGGCCACCATCGTGTCTGGCGGCTCGATGCCTAGTATGAACCGCAGCGCCAATCGAGCCTCTACGCGGTACATGCCCGTTTCGCTTCTCATGGCGCGATTTGCCGCATATGGTGTCCAGCTCCTCCTGCAGCCTCACTGTCCGACTGGCCCTCCGAAACATTCTCCAAAACCCTTAACCCTAAACCCTATAGACCCTATAACCCCTGAATCCTAAACCCTAAACCCTAAACCCTATAGACCCTAAAACCCCTATATCCTAAACCCAAACCCTACAGACCCTATAGACCCTATGACCCTAGATCCTAAACCCTAAAACCTACAGACCCTATAGACCCTATAACCCTAGATCCTAAACCCTGAACCCTATAGACCCTATAACCCCTACATCCTAAACCCTTAACCCTAAACCCTATAGACCCTATAACCCCTAATATAGGGGCCTTAATAATCCGAATATGGTTTTGGTGTCTATTATACTATAACTATAAAAAGGAACCACCAAAATAATATAGGTACTTATTAAGGCCCCTATACCCTAAACCCTAAACCCTAAACCCTGGACCCTAGACCCTAAAGCCTAGACCCTAACCCGCAAACGAAGCAGGGGCCTTGGGCATGGATTCGACCGGGCTGTTCTGAGGAAGCGGGATCGCCTCGGGTGGCTTGAGGACTTTGGGCTTTTAGGGGCTTTAGGCGTTTCGGTGTTTAGGGTTTTAGTAAAGGGTTTAGGGGTTTAGGGTTTTAGTAAAGGGTTTAGGGGCTCAGAAAGTAAAGGGTGTAGAGGTTTAGGGTTTGGGGTTTAGGGGTTTAGGGTTTCGGGGCTCAGTAACGGGTTCAGAGGTTTAGGGTTTCAGTAAAGGGTTTAGGCGGGTTTAGGGGCTTAGTAAAGGGTTTAGGGGTTAGTAAAGGGTTCAGGGGTTTAGGGTCTGGGGTTTAGGGGTTTAGGGTTTCGGGGCTTAGTAAAGGGTTCGGAGGTTTAGGGTTTTAGTAAAAGGCTTAGGGGGCTTAGTAAAGGGTTTAGGGGTTTAGTAGAGGATTTAGGGTTTAGGGCTTAGGGGTTTAGAGTTTAGGGTTTAGGGGGTTTGCGGTTTAGGGTTCAGGGGTTCAGGGGTTTAGGTTTAGGGTTTAGGGCTGAGGGTTTAGAGTTGGAAACGCTTTCAATAAGGCTTCCATGTTAGGGGACCCCAGGGTGGGATCAGGCACTATGGGGCTCCTAGCAGGGCCGTAAACCCCGAACCCTAAACCGCTTCATCGCCTGCGAAGTTGAAGGTTCAAGGAGGTTTAGGGTTTAGGGGTTTAGGGTTTAGGGTTTAGGGGTTTAGGGTTTAGGGTTTAAGGAGGCTTTGCCATTATTTTGGCTGTACAAGGTTTGCACATAGGGGCCTTACCAACTGGAATCGGCTGTTGGGAGTAGTACATGGACCCCTGAAGAATCGTGCGAGTCGCGCATGCCCGCTTGTTAGATAAACCCTAAACTCCTTAACCTTGTTAGATAAACCGCGAACCCTAAACCCCTAGGCCTTGTTAGATAAACCCTAAACCCTAACCCCAAAGCCCTTAAACCCTAAAGGCAAGTCTCGGTCAAGTAATCTCGCAGGGTTTTCGTCAAGACGAACCCTTAGACCGAAACCTAAACCCTTCGTAGCTGGCTGAGTTGCCTAGACCAAAAATAGGGTTTAGGATTTAGGGTTTGGGGTTTAGGGTTTAAACCCTAAACCCTAAACCCTAAACCCTAAACCCTAAACCCTAAACCCTAAACCCTAAACCCTAACCTTTGAACTCTGGTAGGACTACAAACGCCCCAAAGGCTAAAGGCTACCTATTCGGCTCCTCAGCCTCCCAGACCATGATGCGACCCGTATAGACTTCTCCAAGGAGCCCTTAAGCCGCATCCCTTTAGGGTTTAGGGTTTGGGGTTTAGGGTTTAGGGTTTCGGGTTTAAGGTTCAGGGTTTAGGGTTTTGGAGTTTAGGGTTTAGGGTTTAGGGCTATAAATACCCTCTGAAAGCCCTAAAACCAAGCCACATGCCTCCAAGTCGACACTCGCTGGGAAGTGCCAGAAGCACTCGGCTTTCACGAAGAGCGCATCGCGTTTGCGCTCCAGGAGAACCTGGGTTAGTCGTTCCTTAAACCCTAAACATCGATTCTATAGGGCCTTGTAGGATGTTTGGCTTTCAAGGGTCGCATCAAGTGTTCATAAGGCAAGTTTGCATGGATTCTCTTAACATGAGGGCCTGTTAACTAGACCAGCTAGGGTCTGGGGTGTGTAGGGGTGTGTATGGGTCTTTTTGTGTCAGCTTCCCCAGTATGCCCCAAATCATTGAGGATGACCTTTGTCCCTTTTTGTTTGAAGAAACCTGATATAGGTGTTTCTAACAGGGTTTGGGCCATAACAGACTGGAATTCCTTTGCGGAACCCCAAACCCCAAGGAATCCTGAATGACAAGGGCTGTTCATGCATTACTGTGTCTCGGCTCCCGGCACCCTCCTCCTCAAGCAGACGCACCTGTCAATGCCATTACGTAACTTCTGCGAGTCTACCATCAGGCTGAAGCGAGGATAGAGGTGACGATGAAGATTATGGTGATGATGATGATGACGATGATGACGATGGTGGTGGCAGTCATGGTGGAAACGAGGAGGAGGAGGAGCAGGAGGAGGAGCAGGAGGAGGAGTTGAGGAGGATGTTTCTAAGACTGCTGAGGATGACCCGGATGACAGGGACGATGATAACGATGGTGATGCCCAGGAGGAAGCAAAAGAGGAGAATGGGGATGAGGATGATGAGGATGACGACGTCGATAATGATCGGCAACGACTGCTATGACGATGCTGCTCCCCTAAACCCTAAACCCTAAACCCTAAAACCTCATCTGCCACCGGAACCCTTGAAAGAAACTGGTCAGAACCCTCAACGGAACCATTAAAGGAGCGAGGAACCCTTAAAAGAACCCGCAGGGCTCCGATCTCATAGGAATCCCCAGCAAAACCTACATCCTACTTTGGGAGTTTCCGAAAAGAAGGGGTGCCTTATTTTGGGATTCTTATAATCTCCTTCTGTTTAGGATGTCCCCTATTTTCGGAAACCCCCATTTAAACCCTTGAACCCCAAAACAATTAAAGCTAAACCTAGACCCTAAACCCTTAAACCCCCAAAACCTCATCAAAACCTTAAACACATATACGAAAACCTTAAACCCTAATACCATGACCCTAAACCCGTAATCCTTGAAACCTTTAAACCCTCAAACCCCTACCAGAAGCCGCCTTGGTCTTCATGTGTGCGTCTTCCAAAGCTGTCGCCCCGAAGTAGCCGCCCAGTGAGCGGTCGGCTGAGCAGAGAGGGCACCACTTTGCTATAGCATCGTATATTGCACTATGTTTTCATACACATGGTATCTTCTAGTATATTATGGTATAGTATAGTATAGTATGTTATCGTATATGGTAAAATTTTTACAGTATACCATCCTATGTATATAAGAGTGTCGTTTTACGGTTCTGTTAGGGAGTACTACAAGGGACTCGGAAGGTTCTGCAAGGGACTCGAAAGGTTCCTGTAGAGGGTTCTACCGGGGTCCCTTCAAGGGTTCCGGGCTGCCCTGTCGCGGTAGGGTTTAGGGTTTGTTAGGGTTTAGGGGTTGGGGTTTAGGAGTTAGGGTTTAAAGTTGGGGTTTAAGGGTTTAGGGTTTAGGGTTTAGGGGCTGCAAAAAGTAATTGCCAGCCACTCGTTGGGCAGGAGGAAAGACAACATCTGCTGCACTTCCTTTGTCCGAGGGTTCTTCAAAGGGCAATCCAGTACAGCTCTGGCCAGAAGCCCTAAACCCTAAACCCTAAACCCTAAACCCTAATCCACCTTTGCCACGTTGTCGCCTGCAGGATGAAGATTGAAACTCCTTTCAGCCGTTTGCTGCCTTCGCAGCCGTCACCACATTGCTCGTACAGAGTCTCTTCCACCTAGAAGGAATACTTAGGGTTTAGGGTTTAGGGTTTAGGGTTTAGGGTTTAGGGTTTAGGGTTTAGGGGCCTTTGCCTTTCTCCGGCTTCCTTAATTAAAGTGTTTTAAAGATAGTCTCTTCAGGGGGGCCTTTTGTGGTTTACGGCCCAGGATTTAGGATTTTGACAAGGATTCCGGGTTTAGGGCTCCACGTTCCTCAACAACTGTGCAAGGTTCCATAAGGGCTTTAGGATCCAAGGATTTTGGTGTTTGAGGCTTGGATAGAATTTGGGGTTTTAGGGTTTAGGGTTCAGGGTTTGGGGTTTTGGGCTTCGGGCGTATACCCTACACCCTAAACCCCTAAAACCTAAACCCCTAAACCCCTAAACCCTAATACCTAAACCCCTAAACCCCTAAACCCCTAAACCCCTAAACCCCAAACCCCTAAACCCCTAAACCCCTAAAACCCCTAAACCCTAAAATTGTAGAGGGTGCAGAGCTTTGGGATTAACAGGCTCTTATAGGGATGTCGATGGCTTGTCTGCCCTTGGAGGGATTTTGTTGGGCTCTGGGACCTACCCTAAACTCTAAACCCTTCGATCCCGTAAACGGACCTGTAAAAGGAACCCATAAAAGAAACGCACAAAAGAAACCCTGAAAGGAACCCATAAAAGTAACCTCAAAGGAACCCATTAAAGGAACCCTTAAAGGAACCCATAATTGGGAACCAAGCAACCCTTAAAGGAAGCCTTTGCAATGAGGAGAGCCGCACTTCGGCGACTTGGAGCCCTTCACTGACACTCTTACCTGAGGGTTTAGGGTTGAGGGTTTAGGGTTCAGGGTTGTTCGGGAGTTTGATACAGGTTACCACAATAACCTACCATACTGTTGCGATAGATCTGTATTTATGGTAACTTAAACTTGGCTCCGTAGCAAGAAGGGAATCTTTCGAGCTCTCCGAATCCCGCGAGTAAGGCCATTTTTGAGGATCTGCACATCATAGGGCAGGAAAAATTGTGTTTAATGCTGACCCTGTCTAGTCTAAAGCCACACCTGCACCCTTTCTGATTTACTAAACCCCCTATATCATAGTAGCCCTCATAGTAACCCTTTTAGGCCCCTTCAAGTAAAGGAACCCTATTCTAATTATCCCAAAAACGACACTCTCCGGTCGGGCTTTGGGAGCAGAGTCGGCGCCTCGCACGATGCGGTGGCATGGCACCACGGGGGCGTGGGGATTTCGCTTCAGTGCCTGGGCAGGGACATGAAGGTTTAGGGTTTACGGTTTAGGGTTTCGGGATTAGGGTTTAGGGCTTTGGGTTTAGGGCTTAGGGTTTAGGGTTTAGGGTTTAGGGGTAAGGGTTCCGGGCGAGGGTTCCTGTAGGGCCGTGGGGGTTGCTTTAAGGGTTCCTTTTAGGTGTGCCAAAAGAGTAGCGAGAAGAATGTGAGCGTGAATCTTAGCAAGTATTCTCACTGCTGTTACTGCTGCTCTGTGATTTGCAGATCATCAAAGTCAGCACTATGCTTCCTATGTATGCTTCTCATGATGATACACTGCTATCGCAACACACCAAGCACCCTCGTGATTGCTAGCACAGGTACTAGTCCATGACAGTGTTGCTATCACCCTGTATCGTTTTTTGCCATGCTCTTGTAACCTTGACACCATCTTTACACCTTCTTGTTGCGACGATTAATTACACCCTTCTTGCACCCTTGAAGCAACCCCATAAGGAAGCCCCAAGCCCTACTAAAGCAATCCTCTGAAACCCTAAACCCCTAAACCCCTAAACCCTAAACCCCTAAAAACCCATAAGCCCTAGCCCCTGAACCCCTAACCCCTAACCCCCCTTAAACTAAGCCCTAAACCCTAAACCCTAAACGCCCTAAACCCTAAACGCCCTAAACCCCAAAGCCCTGTGCCTGGCCCACGGAGCGCGGGCTCCAACCGTGGCCCAGAGCTTTGGAGACCTCCACGTAGCTGCTGACGCACCTGGCTTTGGGCTTAGGGTTTAGGGTTTAGGGTTTAGGGTATGGTGCGCCCTAGCGGCCTGTGATTTCTGATCGTCGTCTTGAGTAGTGGCCCAGGGTTCCTTACGGAAACCCTTAACCCTAAACCCTTAACCCTAAACCCGTAACCCTAAACCCTGAACTCGAGACGCCTAAAGCCTAAACCCCTATAGACCCTAAACCCCCAAACCCTAAACGGGGCTCCTCAAAGGCTCAAGGTTCCTGTTAAGGGTTTAGGGCTTAGGGCTTAGGGTTTAGGGTTTATTCAGGGTTTTGAGGTTTGGGGTTCTAACTAAGGGGATCCTCAAATATGAGTTAAGGCACATTCCTTGACAGAGGGGCTTAGGGCAGGCTTTGGGCTTAGGGGTTTTGGGTTCGGTTTGAGGGTTTAGGGTTTATGGTTTGGGGTTTTGGTTCGGTGTTGATGTGAGGGCCTTAATAGTTAGAATAGCTCTTTGGGGCACATTATGCCATAAATATATTATTTAGGCCCCTATGTTAGGGTTTAGGGCCAGGGTTAAGGGCCCGAGGTTTGAGTTAGGGTGTCCGTGCACCTCGCAACTACCTAAACGCAGGATGCGAGATGCCACAGTTCGCGACTAAACCCTATAGTACCCCTATAGATCACTTAGAGGAACCATTGTCATTCCTTTAAAGAGCCCTAAACCCTCGAGTACCCTTTTTTGATCCCTTAGAGGAACCCTTATCATTCCTCTAAATAGCCCTAAACCCTAGACCCTAAACCCAAAGCCCTAAGCCCCACACCCTATTCAGTTTCCGGATTCAGGCCTTAAGAGTCCCGGATGCCAGGTTCAGAGTTCATGGTTCCGGGCCTGCGGTATAGGGTTTAGGGTTTTTGGGTTTAGGGTGTTTTGGGTTTTGGGTTTTAGGGTTTTGGGTTTTAGGGTTTTGGGTTTCAGGTAAACCCTAAACCCTAAACCCCTAAACCCCTAAACCCCTTGCAGAGAGGCTTTTCGAGCCACGGGAGCTTGCCAAGTGGGTCTCGGTCCTTGGGGCGCTCTTGAGGCACGCATTGAAGCACTGGGTTTAGGGTTTAAGGGTTTAGGGTTTAGAGGTTTAGAGGTTTAGAGGTTTAGAGGTTTAGGGTTTAGGGTTTAGGGTTTAGGGTTTAGGGTTTAGGGTTTAGGGTTTAGGGTTTAGGGTTTAGGGTTCTACGGTTGAAGCATGGGAAAAAGCAAAATTGCTACCACAAAACAGCTGAAACACAGAAACCTTGGACGAAAGAGAGATCTCCAAGCTTTCTTGGGGCTTAGGGTTTAGGGTTTAGGGTTTAGGGTTTAGGGTTTAGGGTTCAGGGCTTCTTGCTGGGATACTTATAAGACTGCTTCTTGTAATCGGCAACGGGTTCGAAGTTTAGGCTTTGAAAAGCATCTGGGTCTAGGGAGTTTGGGTTTAGGGTTTAGGACTTAGAAAAAAAGCAGAAACGTATTCAACAACATCCCAGGGTCGTCGACACTTCTGGCAAGTCTCGCTGTGCGCTGCGCTGACGCCCCGGCAGTGGGTACCTCGGGGGCCCCCCGGCTGCCGACTGTTTGGGTTTGGGACGTGTGGGTTATAGGGTTTAGGGTTTAGGGTTTGGGGTTTAGGTCCTAGGGTGTGCTATACTTTCATGTCCTCCTACTTATTGAGGCCCTATTGTTAAACGATTGGATCATTGCTACAACTCTTTCACCCCGCCAGGCCACTTCCAAAACTCGCGGAGCCTTTGCAAAACACACCCTTCCAAAGCCCAGATGCTAAGCCCCCTTAAACCCTAAACCCTAAACCCTTAAAGCCCCTAGAAAACTCCAGAAAAGGATCCTATACAACCTACGAAGCCCTTCAAGGAGCCCTATAAGGGAACCCTTAAGTAAGAGACAGCACCCCCTCCCCACCCACCCATGACCCCGAAGTCTTGCTGGGCTGTTCCGAAACCCACTGGGTAAGAGAACGTACTTTTGGGGGTAGTTCTTTTTTTTTGGAAACTCGAAACAAGACACAACGGAGTATAGAACCCTAATCCCTCAACCCTAAACCCTAAACCCTAAACCCTAAACCTTGAAGACTAGAAGTACACCTCTGAACAAACCGAGTTTGAGAAATGGCACAGAGCCAGTCTCCAGGCTTGCCATTGGAGCTGCCGGAGCTCCTCAAACCTGGGGCGCTGGGTCGCGCAAACAACGGGATCTATAGGGTTTAAGGCATTTAGGGATTAGGGTTTAGGGCCTTTAGGCTTTAGAGTTCTTGTTTAGGGTTTAGGGTTTAGGGTCTAGGGTCTAGGGTTTAGGGAGTGGGGTTGGGGGGAGAGGGAACTAGAGGGTTTTGAAAGGGTTTCAGCACCGGGTTCTACAAGGGTTGTCTCGGGTTTAGATCGTTGTTTATGCGGTTTTGTTGGATTTATGCCGGCTTTGTTGGGCTTCTGCAAGGATTCATACAAGCGCTTCATGGGGCACTACAATTCCCAAGACCCTTCGCTACTTCCTGCTAGGTTTTAGATTGTTTTCGGCGTGTTGGGTTTGGGGTTTAGGGTTTACGGGTTTGGGCTTAAGGGTTTCGGGGTGCGCAAAAACAGGCATGCTGCGAACGAGGAATCAGAAGTAACATTAACATGTTCTGTCTTGCTCCGTTTCGAGCATGCCCATACGAAAGACTACTCTGCTCCTTGTTGAAAGCACGGTATGCTGAAATCACCTAGACAGTAGCCCCTAAACCCTAGACCCTTACCTCCTAAACCCTAAACCCTAAACCCTAAACCCTAGACAGTAGCCCCTAAACCCTAGACCCTTACCTCCTAAACCCTAAACCATTAACCGTAAAACCCTGAAGCCCCCCGAAGCCCTTGATGTAGGGGCCTAAAGAATTATTAATTAGACCAGAGTTTTGGGGTACATTAATACTATAACCATAATCAGGAATCCGCGAAATAATATATGTTATTATTAAGGCCCCTACATTCCTAAACCCTAAACCGTAAACCCTAAACCCTAAACCCTAAAACCCTAAACCCTAAACCCTTAAAGCCTTTTGGGCATGTTCATGAGCCGCTGGGGAGCAAGGCCCCACTTTCTGGAAGGGAGGTCGCCGAGGTTCCTTGATGAAGGTGTGGACCATGGCAGATCGAGACCTAGGAAGCTCTTACAATGGCAGATTAGGGGTTGAGGGCTTAAAGTTAGGGTTTAGGGTT